TACAGTTGGAGGCTGTTTCCTTACACAGTTACAGAATGGTAAATTGACAATGATGGATAACATTACCGCAGCTAACTAACACATAAATACTGTTTTAATTAACGTTAATATAGCTAGTAAACCTTTAAATGTTAGAGCACTGACAGCCTGTGTTGTATATTTTAGCTACTGTGGCTAAAGTTGCTGCAATGATGGATAACGTTACCACAGCTAACAAACACTTACTGTTTTTATTAACCTTACCTTGCGCTATATCTTGTAAAATAACCTCTATAAATAAAGGTTGAAGGAATTATATTCCATTAAGTTTCCAGACAGGTCTTCCGAGGGAGAATAGACCCAGAAGTAATGATCCACAGCACTGAGTCAGAAAGGAAGTTGTCTGACGTCATTGTGAAAAGGGCCTATTCCAGAGTCAGGTTGAGCAGGGAGGTCCAGGCATCTTTCCACAGCCATAACCAGCTGGGGTTTGAGAGGACGGGTAGGAGAAACAGACCAACACAGAATGACAGGTCCAGATGTACTTTCTATTGTAAGAAAGACAAAAACTTGTTAAGATAGAAATAATTACAAATACAAACATGTAGAGTAGAGCAAGTACAGACAGCAGCAGAGCGAGGGAATGTGGTCAGTTTGTCCTCCAGTTCTTCTGGGAGGACTCCAAAGTATCCCCAGCTCAGGCCAACCGAGAGACATGTCCCTCTAGCATGGCCTGGGTCTTCCCCAAGGTTTCCTCCCAGTCAGACATCCCCAGACCACTTTTCCATGAAAGCACCATCCTTACCAAAAGCACCTCAACTGGCTCCTCTGGGTGTGTAGGAGCAGCTGTTCTACTCTGTGTCTCTCCTGATAACTGAACTTCTCACCCTATCTTTAAGGGAGATTCCAGCTACCCTACAGAGGAAACTCATTGCCACTCTTTGTATCTACAATCTCATTCTTTTGGTCACTACTCAGAGTTCACGACCATAGGTGAGGGTAGGAACATTGACTGACCAGTAAACAGAGAGCTTTGCCTTACAGCTCAGCTCCCTCTTAACCACAACAAACCGCCACAGAATCCGCAACACTGCAGACGTTGCAACAATCCGTCTAACAATCTCACGCTCCATTCTTCCCTCACTCGTGAACAAAACCCAGAGATACTTGAACTCCTCCATTTGAGGAAGAACCTCACCCTTGACCCAGAGAGGACAATCCACCCTGTTCCAACTGAGGACCATGGCCTCAGGTTTGGAGGTCCTGATCCTCATCCCTGCTGCTTCACACTCATGTAAACTGCTCCAGTGAGAGCTGAAGATCATGACATGATGACACCAGAAGGACCACCTCAGCTGCAAATGACAGAGAAACTCATATTTGTTATCCTAATACATCATACCAGTCAACTTAGTCTTAACAGACAAAAACAATATTTTTATGAACTTAAAATACAAAAAAATAAATTTATTAGAGGTGTGCCTTTATTATTTTATCTGACATTTTTAGAAAATAGTATTTTTTCTAGGACAATATATCAGTGCCTTAAAATCTGTAAAAACAATAAATGTGCAAAACATTTGTTGCTTTTACAGCACTTTGTCCTAACTATAGAAAAATAAAAAATATATATCTGACTCCAGTAAAGTGAACTGCCACACACACACACACACACATGCGTGCGCATGGTGTGTGGGCACGGGGGCGGGGTGGACTGGGGGGTGAACTCTTAAGACATCTCTACCAGTGTATAATTCCCGTCAGTGGACTCATCAGCTGCTGGTTGTTTTAGTCAAAGCTGTTCTTGATTTAAATCACGTCAAACTTTGAGTGAACCAGGTTTCATTTGTGTTTTATTGGATTACTGCTCAGAGTTATCCTTTAATCTTTTAAAACATAGTACTAACAAAGTTTTATCAAACGTCTGTGCTTTTATGTGAACTAAAACTGACATAGAGCACCAATTGGATCCCTCCTGCACTTTCTGTCTCTGCTGACTCCACATCACAGAAAATCTTCAGAAGAAGAGCTGAACACGATGTTTCTCTGTTGGTTTGTGTGCGGGATGAGCTCTACAAGAGTTTGTGCTTTTTACTTACACATAATTTAATTCTGTACATTTTAAAATTACAGGAAAACACAAATAAAACAGAAATGTTTGGTGCAATTTCTTCCCCTTGTGTTCCTGTTTGTTTTGCTGCCAGTAGGTGGCGCTGAGACCGACAACAAGTCAACCTGATTTTTTTTTAATCAGAACTTTAACACCTCTGAGAACTTGCTGCTACAGTGAAGTTGAAATGATAAAACGATTAATGGTTTTGTTGTAATTTGAATAAAGAACAGCAGAAACAAAAGGATCAGCTGTCTTCTGTCTTTTGATGGAACTTCAGTGGAGATTTGCCTTCAGTCATTGTTTATTAAATCTGCAGCCATTAAAGAGGCTCACTCTCTGCTGCCTCTACTAATCCTGATTATAACAGGCAGACAGTGTCTCCACCTCCCACAGAGACGCCTGAACACATCACAGACAGGAGAGGGCAGGACAGCAGATACCTGAATGCACCACATACTGTAGAGGACAGTATAAGGCCAACAGGAGGACAGTAAAAACCCCTGAACACACCACAGACTGGGTAGGGCAGCAGAGATATCTGAAAACTCCAAATATTTGAGAGTACGGGACAACTTAATCACCTGAACACACCACAGACTGCAGAGGACTGGAGGAGCAACAAGAAGATGACAGTGACAAAGGAGATGTAGGGATGAATCAGGACATCTGACCATCATCATCATGGACAGTAAAGGAAGGAGAGGCACCAACGGCTCAATCAAACGCTCATCCATCAAACGCAGCACATCTTCTGGATCCCAAAGGGTAAGGTTCATGCTCACCTGAATCCTTGGATCAGCTGAAACTAGAAGTCTGCTGAGTGCTCATAATGTCCAGATTTAAACTGGTTTTAGTGTTCCTATCAGTCTGCTGTTGTGGATCTGATGTTGAAGATTCTGATCCACCTGACCTGCGTTCTGATCATGAAGCCTGCAGATCAGAGGTGTTTTCTGACGGATCTGAGAAGGTCTGAGTGTCTGTGTTCAGGAGTTCATATCTCTGCTGTGCTTCATCCTTCAGTCCATCAGGTCTGATTTTCATTGGGAACTAACGTCCCATTTCCTGTTTGTCAGTCTGTGATATCTTTGGTATTTTCATTGACATGTACTAAAGAAATGAGAATGAACTGTGTCTGTGTGACTGATTGCTGGAACAAATAGACTAATTATTACTTTGTGTTGAGTTTTCTGCCGTGTCGATACTTGAAAAATCACTTGAGTTTAGGAGATTTTCTTTGTCTGAAAGAATTTAAATAAAGTTATAAACATTCCGGGCAGCACGGTGGCGCAACTGGTAGAGCTGCTGCCTCTCAGCGAGTAGGTCCTTGGTTCAAACCCTGGTCCAGGGGCCTTTCTGGGTGGAGTTTGCATGTTCTCTCCGTGCATGCGTGGGTTTTCTCCGGGTGCTCTGTTTCCTCCCACAGACCAAAAACATGCATGTTAGGCTGATTGGTAACTCTTAAATTGTCTCTAGGTGTGAATGAGAGAGTGAATGGTTGTTTGTCTCGTTTGTCTCTATGTGGCCCTGTGATGGACTGTCTCTATGTGGCCCTGTGATCCAGGGTGTACCCCGCCCCTCGCACAGTGATTGCTGGACATGGGCACCAGCGACTCCCGTGACCCAAAATGGAATAAGCGGGTAAAGATAATGGATGGATGGATATAAACATTCCTCTGAAAATCCAACAAAGTGAAGTCAGATCCTCTGGAC